GCACAGTTCTCCAGAGGCCCCTTCCAGGGCCAGGCTCTGGGAACCACTGGCTTCTTCTGAGTTCGGACACAGACGTGACTGAGGAACTTCAGCCTGAATTAAAACTGGAGTCTGGGCTCTCCCTGTCTATGAAGCAGGATAACCAGCTAAAGGATAAAAACATAAACCATGAAAACACCTCAGTAATATCCCATTTATCCCATGTTGGGTAAAGAAGATTATCCAGACAAGCTACTGGCAGGGCAGAGAAGTCGGTCCCAAGCGAGGACTCCTGGGCACTCATCGATGTGCCAGCCAAGGTCGTTCTCACTGGTGCTGCTGCTAGTAGCTTCCTTTGGCATATCAAAACATCCAGGGATTATTGTAAACAAAATTCACTTTCATGCTCTGCTAATGAGGTATTTTTGGTCCAGGCTTTGACTGAGCTATTTTAAATGTTAATTTTTTTTATTAGGTGTTTATCTGACAAACTCGAATCAAGAAAATTGAGCGGAAAATAATCATAAGAAGTAATTCCTTAGCAATTTCTTATCCCTTAACTTAGGGATAAGTCATTCAGCACTGTGTTTTTCTAAGGTACAGCTGCTACTGAGGATAGTCAGGGGCCATGCTTTTATAAAAATGTCGGAAATAGCAGTGTTCTGAACAGTCCTCTTGGGAAGCAGGGGGTGGTGCACCTGGGAGCAGAGGAGATAAAACTCAGGGATGGCCAGTGAGGGATTATCTGTGGTCTGTGTCATTTAACCTCATTTTCAGGTGTCTGGACAGTCATAGGAGAAAATCCGTTGCTGCTTTTCCCCTCGTGGTGCCAAGGCTTGGGCCGTGGGGGGGTTTTCCAAGTGGTGTACATCAACATAACACCCTCACCTCCACGCTGTTTTCCAGCGTGTTTATTAATTGATGTTCCTCTAGTACCCCCATAAAAATCTAATCTTCTAAGGAGATTTGGAATGCTTATATATAATCTGCTGCATGAAGGGCATCACTGCATTTATTACTATGGAGATGGCACAGGCAGTTCCAGAGCTGCAGCTGAGTTATTCCCGCGCTGTACGCAGCCAGCGTGGATCCGGGATGTTGTCATCCGCGCGGTGCCTGGCCGCGTATCGCAGCACTCCGAAGGAGGCCCTGCGTGTGAAGAATAAGTAAAACAGCGTAGCAGCACGCGAGTAGCACCATCTGACTCGGTTGTCTTCTTGGTAGGTGTGACCAGGAGCAGGAGGAAGGCTGGGAAAACCAGAGAGGCACTGCAGATTTGGGGGGAGGTTGTTGCTTTTTGTTTGAATTTCTCTTTGAGGCCAGCGACTCGCGTTAGTGCTGCTGTAGGCAAGCCACTGAAGGCTTCCTCCCACTTGTCTGTAACTTTCCTTGTGGGCCTTCTGTGCTGGAATTTTCCCTGAAAAACCCATGTCAAGCCTTCCAGAATTTTCTTACCTACCTGTATTAAACTATTTTGATAGGGAGGGACAGGGAGGAATTCTCTTCCCTGCAGGGTGAAATGTCTGCTGTGCAAAAAGATCAGCCTTGGCGCAGTGGTTGGCGTTGGAGAAGGGACTGCAGTTACGTGTTGCAGGTGCTGTTCCGTTTATAGAGAGAGAAGTTAAATCTTTCTCAAACACCAAATACATTTTTACATTTAAAGCTAAGATTTGTGTGAGAAAAGTAAGAATTTTATCAAATGCAGAGTTAATGCTGTACTGTGACAGATGCCCTCACCTGGGAGTAGCACGTTTGCTTTATCCCCAGTTGGAAGGAAAAAACCCATCACACTTCTAGTGCCTGGACCAAGGAGCCATGCCAAGACAGATGCCAAAGCATGTCAGGAAAAGCAAAGCGCAGCCCTACACGGCTTCCATCAGTCCCGGCCTGTCGTGGCGGAAGAGGGGCTGCAAGAGGAACCTCTGGTACTCATGGAGAAGCCTTCACCTTCACCTTCTCTGTGAAAAGTGCAGTTTCTCGCTGGTTACGGACTCATCTCGCTACCTCCGGATCCTGCGTGGTGGAGAGCTGTGTGAAGTCTGCAAAAGGGATCTTCCGAGGGGTTTGGGACATCTGCTCGCTGGGTCAACCTGTTCTGTACCAGCCAGGCTGCTTAGAGGTCCAGGAACGTGGTCCTCTTGGGGATGGTGGCCTGTAACACGACACACCAAAGTGCCTGCCAGCTATCAGACTTGGGAGACTTAGTTGTTGGGGTGTTTTGTTATTGTTGTTTTTTTTTTTTAAAAAAAAAGCGCGTCCCCCTTTCCACCAGGGTTGTTGCTGTGTGTTGCTCTGTGCACTGTGTGTTTGTCCCAGCAATGTGCCTGGCCCTGGGCTGTCGCCCGCTGGTGTACACGTCCTGTCCTCTGGTCCGGTGTAGCTCCTCAGGACTCTCTTTATACTTACGGATCTAATAAACATCTGCTTGTTCTTGACCAAACATGCCTGCGTTCTGTCCGTGCCTGGGTAGGCAGTGCTGTGCCCCCCCGGGCTGTGCTTTCCCCCTGCCCCAGCAGGGTCACACCGTGGGGGAGGCAGGTGGAGGGGACGTGCCGAGCGCTCGCTGCGGGGTGTGGGACCAGCGGTGCCCCCGGACGGGGAGCAGGGGAGCATCTGGCAGCGCTGCTGACTGCAAAAGCTGCTCCGTTGCCTCTCGGTGGGGCTTCAGCACGCCTCGAAGATGAGGGGTTGGCACCGGGGGTTTCATCTTTGTCAACTGCAGGAGGGGTGAAGCAGCTGATTCACAGACGATACAAGGTGGATTTAAAAAATTACCTGTCATTGATAATTACTAATTTGTCTTTCCAACTGCAGTCCCCACCGAGATGCTGACCACCTTTTCCAATGCAATGTCCGAGGGCTTCCCCGTTGCAGAAGCCCTGAGCTCCTAAAATCAGGAGCATTCCAATACTGGCATCAGTTTTAGCAACTCCATGTGTGTGTTAATGTGCTAAAATCTCTTCCTCTCGAATAACGAAGCTGATGGTGCATTCAGCTTCAACATCATCTTCCTGTAGGTATCTTAGAAAGCTTTAAATTATTTTTGTGGTTAATTTTTGGTGGCTTTCACAGCATATGGAAGGAGCCAGTGCATTCTGCCCTGATTAACTGTGGTGGGCTTGCTGTGCCAACGTGCCTCTCGTCCAGGTCTTTGAGTGCATGACCCCAGCAGCATCGTTGTTGGAAATGGGGTGAATGTCACAGGCTGCAGGATTTCTCGACGTGGATGGTTATACGTGTGTCTCGGTGGCGTTGGGAAGCCTGGCTGAGGCTCTGCTTGTCCCTGCCCGTGGCGGCCTCCGTGGCCTTACCCGGTGCTGC